GAGGAAGTTAAGTTCCCATACCACTTGTTAAATCTATCCTGATAATGATCCGTAAACAGGAAGTAGTCAAAAAAATATTCGATATTAAAAAAAAAAAGGCAGTAAAACAATCGGTGCTCTTGCAACAATCTGGATTTCACCGTCGAGTGTGACCGGATCAAAACATCTAAAGTATTGTTTGGTAGCTCGATAAATGAGCTATTGTATGACACACTTCCTGTCAGATTCCTGAAAGCCGGTTCAGTGCTGCTTGCAGGTCTAGTTATTATTTTTTTCTGCGGGAGCCTATTTCTCCATGATCGAAAACAGATATCGATCTGGAACCAAATTTTCTATCGGGAAACCATGTGGTGGCTACTTGATAAACTATTTTTGAAACTTCTGCGCAGACCGGAAGTGGCCGAATTTTGTGCGGTGCAAAAAATAAAAAAACGGCCGTAGCTTCGTCAATTCTGTACCGATTTTCATACAAATGACATTTTCAGAAACCCTGAGTCTTTTGTCGGACGATAGCAGTTGAAAATTTCGAAATTTCGAAACTTCGTCGCTGACTTCTAGCGTTCGAAAAACGAAAAATTTTGTTTAACATACAATTTTTGTTAATTTTCCAAATTTTCAAATTTGACCTACATTTTTGGATACGAAGACCATCCGATTCTAGAAATATAAGTTTCATTCCGAGTTATCGCCCTTTATTTTTTGATTTTTTTCGAATTTTCTGCCCATTTCCCAACCCTTATATTTTTGGGAAAGGATAAATCGATATTTCTGAAAGTCCTGGAACATAAAGCTATATAGTCAGACCGCTGGATAAAGCAATTTCAACAATGGTCCGGAAACCGGAAGTAGTCGAATTAATGTCCGATAATTCGGGAAAAAAATAAAAAAATGGGTGTTTTGGGAAAAAACTCGATTTCTCCGTCCAATATCAATGGATTAAACGAATTAAGCTTTCGTTGAGTGGCTCGAGGAATGGATACTATACGGATACTATGACCAAGCAGCAAAATATGACAAGCTGAAAATCAATTATTTTCTGATTTGGGGCGTTTTTGGACGCCTGTATCTCGAAATCTTAACCGCAACTTTTTTTTTAACTTTCTCTATCGAGAGTCCATTCGATAGTCTTGTGAATTATGCCATCCAATAAGACTTTGAAATGCCTGGAACACGATAAAAAAAGGGACTGAAAATCGAAAAAAGTCGAAAAATCGTGAAATTTTGCAAAATGCTCTATTACTTTATTATTTAAACAAATTTTTACAAAAAGATTACAGATTCGGATAGCTGACCTAATTACGATTCTAACGATGTATAATATGTATTGAGTTATCGAAATTTAATTTTCGATATTTTGACATTTTTGCATTTTTGGCACCTATGAACATAGGATTTCTCAGGGTCATTTTATCTGATCAGATAATGTAATATATCATTACAGAGCCCTGCCGCTATTTAATTGCCCAAACTGGTTATTAAAACTATTCCGACAATAATCTCCATACCGGAAGTATTCAAAAAATGAAAAAAAAAGGTTAAAAAATTGTCGCTCTTGCGAAAAGCTGGATTTCTTGGTCAGATATTACCGGACCAAAAGAAGTAAAGTGTCTTTGGATAGCCCCATTAATGGACTATTATATGGCATCTCAATGGTAAGATTTCGATGGTTAGAAAATAAATTGTGGTACGCCGAAAATCTAGTATTTTCCGTTTTTGGAGCCTTTTTAGACGTCTTTTTCTCTCGAAAACGACAACTCCGATTTTTCTGAAACTTTTTTAACGCAGAGTCCTATGGGTGGGCTATGGCGTGGGTCCAACAATAAAAGCATTGAAATAACATAAGTTGTCCAAAAAGAGTCTCAATCTTGGAAAAAAGTTGAAAAATCCTTAGATTACTGAAAATGATCTTCTAATTTTCTTTCTTTGCAAAACAGCTGAATGGATTATTCTGAAACTTCTTGTACAGAAGGTAAGGTAACCAAACAACTTGTTAAAGCTATCCCGACAATGATCCAAAAACCGGAAGTAGTCGAAAAAATTTCGGATATTTGGAGAAAAAAAACGTAAAAATTAAAAAAATGGAGATCTTGCGAAAAAAGTGATTACTACGCCAGATTTCACCGAATCAAAACAACTAAAGTGTCATTGGATAGTTCGAACAATGGACAATCTTATGAGATCTAAATGGTAAAAATCCGCGGGTTAGGCAATATATAATGGAACGCTGAAAATCTATTATTTTCCTTTTTGGGGCCTATTCAGACGCTTTTATTTCGAAAACTTCTCTTATTTCCTTTCTTAAACTTCTTTTACTTAGAGTCCTAACGGTGGTCTATGGTGTGAATCCAAATTTAAAAGCCTCAATATAGTATTAATGGTCCAAAAGGGCCACAATCTTTGAAAAGAAGTCGAAAAATCGTTATATCTGTAAATCTGCTTCTAATGGTATAAGGGAGGTAAAACTGTCCAATGGATCTTTCTGAAACTTCTGGTACAGAAAATTAAGTTCCCATACCACTTGTTAAATCTATCCCGATAATGATCCGTAAACAGGAAGTAGTCAAATAAATATTCAATATTTTTAAAAAAAAGACAGTAAAAAAATCGGCGCTCTTGCAACAATCGGGATTTCACCGTCGGATGTGACCGGATCAAAACATCTACAGTATCGTTTGGTAGCTCGATAAATGGGCTATTGTATGACACACTTCCTGTCTGATTCCTGAAAGCCGGTTCAGTGCTGCTTGCAGGTCTAGTTATTATTATTATTATTATTTACCGCGGGAGCCTATTTCTCCATGATTGAAAACAGATATCGATCTGGGGTTCAATTTTCTATCGGGAAACCATGTGGTGGTTACTTGATAAAGTATTTTTGAAACTTCTGCGCAGACCGTAAGTGGCCGAATTTTGAACGGCAGCAATAAATAAAAAATCGGCTGTGGTTTCGCCAATTCTTTACCTATTTTAAAACAATTCACATTTTTGAAAACCCTGAATCTTTTCCGAGACAATGGCTATCTTACATTTTTCAATTTCGAACATTCATCTATGGCTTTTGTCGTTCGAAATTTGGGAGACAATTTTTGTAATTTTTCAAAATTTGACATTTTTTCGAATTTTCTGCCCATTTTGTGAGCCCGAGTTTCGTTTTACGGCAGAATCGACGTTTCTGAAACTTCTGGAACATGAAGTTATAGTCCAAATCCAACTGATAAAGCTATTTCGACAAGGATTCTTAAACCGGAAGTGGTCGAAAAAATGTCTGATATTTTGAAGAAAACGCAAAAAAATGGTTGCTTTTGGAAAAAACGAGATTTCTCCACCCGATATCAACGGATTAATGAAATTAAGGTATCGTTGGGTGGCCCGGGGATTTGACTGTCATATGATACCCATTTCACACGAGTCCTATGACAGGGCAGCAAAATATGACATGTTGAAAATCAAGTATTTTCGGATTTGGAGCGTTTTTGGATGCCTATATCTCAAAACTACTCCAAGGATTTTTCTAAAACTTTCCCTATCGAGAGTCCCTCTGGTAGTCGTGTGCATGAATCCATCCAATAAGACTTTGAAATGTCTGGAATAGGTAAAATAACAGACTGAAAATCGAAACAAGCCAAAATCCCCAAATACATAGATTAATCCAACATCTATTTTTTTCAAAAGTATCGAGCAATCAAACTGATTATCAACTATACACTAAGTTTCATCACTCTCTATCAGATAGAATCAAAGTTATCTTGTCCCAAAGCATCGACCAAGGAAATTGCTTATCTCTGCTTAGCTTTAGCTCGATATGTTAATCATTGAACTCGGTCAAAACGAACATCTACATCAAGTTTAAACATTCTACCTCAATTAGAAGCAGAGTTGTTATGTTCGAAAATCTTGACCAATCAAAATGCTTATTGCTCCTTAGCCTAAGCAGACAATTCTCATCATCGAACTTAGTCAAGGTATTGATGTAATGAAACTATACACCAAGTTTCATCACTCTCACTTCATTAGAACTAAAGTTATCGTGTCCTAAAGCATCTACCAATCAAATTGCTTATCTCTACTTACCATAAGCAGAAAATGCTCATCTTCGCACTCTATCAAGGCATTGACCTAATAAACACCTACACCAAGTTTGAACATTCTAGCTCAATTAGAAGGAGAGTTATTGTGTTCCAAAGTCTCGGCCAATCAAATTGCTTATCGCTCTGCTTACCCTGAGCAGAAAATGCTCAATATCGAACTTAGTCAAGGTATTGATGTAATGAAACTCTACACCAAGTTTCATCACTCTCACTTAATTGGAACTAAAGTTATCGTGTCCCAAAGCATCAATCAATCAAATTGCTTATCTCTACTTACCCTAAGCAGAAAATGCTCATCTTCACACTCCGTTAAGGCATTGACCTAATAAACACCTACACCAAGTTTGAACATTTTAGCTTAATTAGAAAGAGAGTTATTATGTCCCAAAAAGTGTGACGGACAGACAGAGACAGACGAACACATTTTAATAGTCCCTTGCTTTCTTCGAAAGGCGGGGGACAAATATTGTTATTGTGTTCCAAAGTCTCGGCCAATCAAATTGCTTATCGCTCTGCTTACCCTGAGCAGAAAATGCTCATTATCGAACTTAGTCAAGGTATTGATGTAATGAAACTATACACCAAGTTTCATCACTCTCACTTAATTAGAACTAAAGTTAGGCCATGTTAAATTAATTCTGTGTTTCAGGTTTTAGGGTCTCCAGAATTCAATGAGGGAGGGAGGTCAACACAACACAGCTCCCAATTTTTAACACAACACACATTTTTTCGACACAACACAAACTCAGAATATAGCTGAATATACCCAATAGATCTCCAGGATTGTTTTTTAGGCAGATTCTATTATTACAAGATAATCCATCAGGTGTGGATGTCACATTCTATGTTGTAGAACTGCATTTTAAGGCCGCCCTGGAGGCACTCAAACTGGTCTATTGATATTATCATTGCAGTTCAGTGGCGCTGCCATCTACATCTAATGGATTGTTAATTTAACAATAATAACATAACTACTCTAATGTATGAATTTATATCATATACTTTTAATAAACTTGTACATGTATAAAGCTTTCACTTTTATTGGAACACACTTCTTGGTAGTGAAGATTACACAAGTTAACAAAAATTTACAAAAAAAATGTCTCACCTGGATTCTTTACCCCCCACACCCCATCAAAACTTCAAAAACACAACAAAACATTTAACACTAAACTGAAAAGTTTTAAAAACAATGGAATCAATGAAGCAATATTTCAAAGAGAAGTCCATACAGTTCATGAAACCACATTCGAAGTCTGTGAAACTACATACAGTTCATGAAATCAAAATCAAGTCAGTTTTTCTTCAGGCGTTTTGCACTACTAGTGCGAAATGCACCAGAAGTGGTGCAGTATTCACAGACTGGCCTGTTGTCCATCGTTGAGCCTCCAGTTATGTCTGCATCTGCACAAATTGCACAACAAAGTGGAAAATTTACCCGCCTACTGTAGTAGTGTTGACTTATCTCATTCTCACAAGTTATCTCTGCCTCAACGCCACAGAAGTCAAGGTCCAGACCTCCCCCATAGCTATACAGGGCATCTTCAATGGTCCTTTGGATCTGAAATAAAGAATTGGTTGATTTGAATTCATGTTCTTAAAAAAAGAGTAGAATAATTGACATCCCAGTCAAATTGTATTAAAACTATAGAAAAAGCATTGCAGTTCTGACCAGGGCCTTTAAACAGTATAATATAAAACCTGATCAAAATGTTCCTGCCCTTTTGAAATTTGAACTTGTGATTCATTCTACATCAAGTTTAGTTTTGTTATTGCAAACATGTATGAAATTGGCCTCAGAACATTTAGACTGATATCCCACTCTGTTGGAATAAGATTCCTGGCTAGAGAGAATGAATGAACGTTGTTTTATATCAAAGATGTACATGTACCTTGATGGCTTGATCTTTTGTCAACATCTTCATTGCATAGATCACCCTTGGCTTTCCACACATGAAGCAGTGGACATAATTTCTCGCCGTCTCTGCAGAGCATCTGTCGATTTTGCCAAAATCATCATCACCGTCATCGTCCCCACCACTTGATCCCTCATTCTCAACCATCTGGATGTCATCATCAGTACTGGCTTGAGGCTGCACACTTTCATCCACTCCTCCAGTACCATCTGGGTTCTCGTCAGCCTGCACTGGCCTGGCTTTAACTGTTTGCCCTGGGGTGGCGTTGGACTTCGTCTGGAATGACTAAAAAATATTCAGAATTAAAACAAAACCCTGGAAACTTTTAACCAAATGATAACCACAGCTAAATATGAATGTCAAGTCTCAATCATAAACAAATGAAATTCATTTTAGAGGAGGTTTTTTTATATCGTTTTCAATTTCTAGATGTGCACAAGTAATAGTTTTATACTATGTTTACCTCATGGATATCAACTCTTGAAAAGTAACAGATGCTAACACTGGTAATATGCTGACAATTTACTCTCCCCCCCCCCCTCCCACGACCACCAAAAAAGAAAAAAAATTGCTGGATCCTACCTTGCTGAACTTCTTTCTTTTCCTAATGTCCTTCTTAACTTTTGTGGTGTTAAGACTCGGGCGGTGTTCTTCTGAGGTGACTGTCCCACACAAATCAGAAAATGTCTTTTAATGCCCTTCACTTCCAGGGACAGGATCAGGTAGCCAGTAGACACTGAAGAAAACACCCTCAGGTAAACACTATAAGATTGGTATCGTTTAATATGGTTGTTTTAGCACTAATAACTATGCATACAGTTTAATTTCAAAACATCGTTTGATAATTGATAATAACGCTTGAAAATTACAAAAATCGTTTAATTAGTTCTATGGCTTAATTTAATGGTACAGCGTTTAATTTCTCCGAGAGGTGTTTAGAAATGGAGGATCCGTTTATTTATATAATGGGTTTATTTACTAGCCGAGCACTTTAATTTCCCGAGATGCGTAAATAAATTAACACCCGATGAATTTATCTACAGGGTTTAAATATTAGACGAAGCGTTTAATTTCTCGCAAGTCGTTTATCCGATCGTTTATTTTGATTACGGTTATTTATGTACGAAGTACGAATAAAAAAGGTGAATATAAAAAAAGTGCACACCCATAGATGCTCACCATACCGTGGTCATAGTATTATATGACTCCACCATTGACAAATACATCACAAATCGGTAAGTCACGTCCAATGTTATTATACCATTGGAAACCGGTAAAGCACATCCCAGGTATTGTATTTTCTTTAAATCACAAATGAATGAACATAGCCTTTCACCTGTACACGTCGCTAGAAGACACGTGACACTGTGATAATCTCGTGAGACTTTTTCACTGGCGCCAAATAGTCGATCTCTATACAAGCTGTCGCTCATTTTCAGACAAAGCTATAGGAATGGCTTCAAACCGTATCAAAAGGGGTGCAGGCTGTTTCGTACTTAGTTCATTCGTACCTCATTTCGTACCTCAAATTGATTCTTAACTTTTCCTATGTTGTTGAAATCAGTTGAAAGAAATTGAATATGACAAACTAGAATTAGAATATGCACGAGATTTGTACCTCAAATTGATTAGTTCTTTTTCGTAAATCCAACGGCTGCGCTAAATTTATAAATACACACATGAGTTGTACCTCAAATTGATTCGTACCTTTTCCTATATGTTGTTGAAATAAATTGAAAGAAATTAAAATAAATCTATATGTTGTTGAAAGAAATTGAAATAATAAACAATAACCTGGTGTTGATTATCGGACCCATTCTGCTCAGTGAGTTGTGATTATTGACGACAATTGATTGGTGATTGTTAAAGCAGTTTAAAAAACGATTGAGAAAGTATATAATCCGGTGTTGATTATTGAATCCATTCTGCTGAATTAGTTGTGATTGTGATAATTGATTGGTGGTTGTTAAAGCGGTTAAAAATTGAATATACTAAAAATTCCGAAATGCGACACGTAATGTATTATTCATAACATAATAAACCTTAAATCAATTTAACTCACTGTAAGATGGAACTGCGTGTTTTCTGATATGGTTGGGTTATTTGAGCCTAAAAATAGAACACAGCAAGTCTCCAAAAGGTGCCTACATGTGAAGATGGGCGTACCTGTTTCTTTGATCTGTTATATCATGGACCGTATTACGGTTACACCACAGGGTAATTCTGTTTTTCATACCCAATTGCATGAAAATGGCTTTCGATCGTAACCGATGTAAATTTAGTGAAATGCTGAAGCAATTTTAGTTTAAATATATCCTTTGTGTGTGAATTACTACTATTGGGCAGGCTGTGTAATATCAATATGGAAATTTCTAATTTTTTTTTTTCAATCCATACGATTCCTTTTTTGTTATTAAATCATCGTAGGTAATGCTTATTCGGCAGCCATTTCTATAAATGTAGCGCAGCCGTTGGATTTGATCAAATCGTTTAATTATATTTCACCTTTATTTCAATTTCTTTAAAAACATTTAGGAAAACAAACTAATCTCGTGCATATTCTAATTAAGGCTCGGCAGCCACTTTTATAAATTTAGCCTAACCGTTGGATTTGATCAAATCGTTTCACCTTTCAACATAGGAAAAAATACGAATCAATTTGAAGTACGAAGTGAAGTACGAAACGGCTCATGTGAGGTACGAATGAACTAAGTACGAAAGGTATAGTTCCTTTCCCTACAATGAACCTCTATAAATGTCTGCAAGTCTTTGTATTTCTTCATATGTATCATTTGCAACTCATTCTGTTTAAGATTTGGATCAATCAGCAAAGCCTTCTCCCAAAGCCATTCAATGTCTGCTTTCGACACAGCATCATGTGTCTTAACAGGTCTTTCGGTGTATTCAAGCCGTTGAAACACTTCATTCAAAAGATCAACACATGGCTTTGTGCTCTGCAGAATTTTCTCCTGCATGCCAGGATTTTGCTCAGCGCATTTTCTGATATCAGACATACTGTTGGCCTTTGACAACAATTTTTCACTTTTTTCATCTAGTTTATCTCTCATTAGACTAATAAACTGAAGACCCAGATTCAAGGTAGACATACACCTCTCAACTGGATTTCTATAAGACTGGTGAGGCGCTGTACGGATTGCTATCAAACATGTAAGGTCTAGAGCCACAAAGAGAGCAATAAGAGATACTTTGACAGATAGATACGTTAACTTACACTACAGTGCTGGAGTTTGGGACTATAATCGCCGAACACCGCGGAAAAACACTCTATTTCACGGTGGAATCTTGGAGAATCGCTAGCGAAACGGCAACTAGCCAAATCACCGCGAAATAGGGTGTTTCCCGGTGAATTATGGTGTTTCGCGGTGAAACACGGTGAATCGAGACGTTTTGGGGATGAAAGCATCTGAATAGCCCCCAAAAATGAAAATACTAGATTTTCAGCGTCCCATTATATATTGCCTAACCAGCAAATTTTTACCACTTAGATGTCATAGATCGTCCATTGTTCGGGCTATCCAATGACACTTTAGTTGTTTTGATTCGGTGAAAGATCCATTTGACAGTTTTTAAAAGAAAGGAAAATTAGAAGATATTTAACGATATTTAGCAAATAATCGGTAGTCTGATGCCAATGTTTTATCTCCCTTATACCGTTAGGGAGACTTTTTATACGCCCACATTTTCATGTGGACGTATATTGTCGTCGCCCCTGTCCGTCCCATCGTCCGTCCGGACGTCCACAATTTGTTTGTGGACACTCTACAGGTCACAATTCTTATCCGATTTTGACGAAACTTGAAATATAGGTTTATCTCCAAAAGATCTTGGTTCCTTTCGATATTGGCATGTATTGGATCGAAACTTCATGGATTATGGCCCCTGTTTGTACGAAAAATCACGTTTTTACCTTGTGGACACTATAGAGTTCACAATTTTTATCCGATTTTGTTGAAACTTGAAATCTAAGTTGATAATCCAAAGATCTCGGTGCCTTTTGATATTCGCGTATATCAGACCGTAACTTCCTGAATTATGACCCCTGATTGTACGAAAAATCACATTTTTAGCTTGTGGACCCTATAGAGGTCATAATTTTTATCCGATTTAAAAAAATGTATTATTATATCACCGTTACACCCTAAGGGTGGCTGAGTTCGAATTTCGTGAGAATCGGCCCAAAATTGACAGACAAAATGGCTGCCGTTCGTTCTCAAATAGCGTAAAAATATGGTATATCAAGGTTGTAGACAAGGCGACCCTACTCCTTGTCACGTACAACCGGGGATTCGAAACCACGCCAGTCGACTCAATGACAAGACTTTATGATACAGCGCGCGCACCCTAACCATTCAGCCACCCAACCCCCCTACCTTAGGTGGAAGTGGACGTAAAACTCCAGAAACGAACGAACGAACGTACTAATGTCATACCAAACCCATAGAGTGGGATTGTGGAGTAAGGGGAGGTCACGATAAGACGGTCCCTGGCACCTAAACACTAATCCCACAACGAAGACATCTACCAATCCAGAAGCAGAAGAAAACATCTACCAAACGATATGTTTTTTATTAAATAAAGGGAAGAACTTCCCACAAAACCCAATCCATGGCCTAAGGCCGAAAACGGAAAGATTGCAAAATCATATTCTAAAAACAGGAAGCAGCTTCGGCTCTCCTATTTCTTGTCTGCGATATCTCTTATGTGGAAGCAGACGTTAAACACCAGGATACTACTACATACTACTACTAAATGTCATTGTGCTTGATAACGATAAGAGAATACATATCGAAACGTTGTGCTTGTGTATAATAAACCAGTGATTGTTGTCCCATATAACTGTGTCAATTTTTGTATGTTAAACTTGTTTTGTAATATAAGCAGTTGCCTAGAAATGGGCAATTTTGCATAAGTCACGGTTTTCGTTATTTTGCCTTTAAAATAGTCATTAATTATTGGATTTTCAAAAAAGTGACGCCATTTGATTCAAAAAGCAAGTATGCGTCATATCAAATTGATTACAATTTAAAATTGACACCGGAAGTGACGGCATTTTGTCAAAAACTGCATTTTTAACATTTAAAATCAATATTTTTTTCAACCAAGTATTATTTAATATGTATTAATATTTTTAACTTTTGGTTTAAATTAACATATTAATAAATAGATATAGATATCATAAAATTGTTTCTAACTTGTTCGGTTGCAGAGAAATGGGCGGTTTTCTACAAGTCACCTTTGAAGGTTTTTGGTCCATAAAAGTGTCAATTATTATTCGATTTTCATCACCATGTGATGCCCAATGCCATAGACGATGTTATAAAACTAATTTAACATTTTTAGTATCACCCGAAGTAATGTCATTTTGGCAAAAACTGTATTTTTAGCCTTCAAAACAGATATTTTATTCAAATGAATCTGATTTGTAATGTTTTTAAGATTATGATATTTGATTCCAATCAACATTTTTATTATCACCGGAAGTAATGTAATTTTGTCAGGATCACTGACATGTAACAAATGTATAAAATGAATTGATTGCTAGATTTGGTTGATTCTGCGTCCATTTTATTTCATGTGTGCAATGCTTATGTGGAAACCTGTTTAACGGTTTCATTGGTACCGGAAGTGACATAAGTTCAAGGGTAATGTGGCACCGGTGAAACCCGTCATTACTGCTTCGCAGTTCTAGTTGAAATACATGTTCGCTTCCTCGGCCACATATTCATCTGTCTATAAATAAATATTGAAATCACGCGCCTCACACAAAACCTAAACATATGAGTCGTCGTCCTTGGATTTTATATCTTCTGTAAAATTGCTAGGGTCTTCGTGTGGAACAACTGGTTCAATAATTTTGGTAAATGTGATGTCCGCTATATCAATTTCATCAGCTAGTATTACTATCTCTGGGTGAGCCGGATTTACACCATTATCTTGTGTTACCAAATGGGATGTATTTTCACATTTTTCTTTCTGGGGATAACAACATCATCAATATCACTGCACCTGTTATCGATCGAATCTGAGAACACCATCAATGTTATTTTGTAATTTGAAATATCCGTTGTGTTTTTAAACACTATGTCAGGCCTACGAGGCTTCTGTGACAGAGACGAACGGTTATCTCTAATAATTTAAAAAAAAAAATCAACTAGGTTCTGATGGAATGGGAATAACCCACAGGTCTTAAAACCATTTGATATTGCTTCTCTAGGGACTGATTTCGTGGACAGGTATTATATAGGAGCAAATGTCGACCAGGATAGTGATTTTCATAAGTTGTCTGATTGCATATGCCAATTCCTTACATATTTCTTTTTTCCATTGAACTTTTAGAGGCCAAAATACCAAAATATCAGCAGGTTGTAAAATGGGAAATTTCAAATAATATAAGATGGGAGCTACAAAAATTACTAAGATGATATGTCAAGTGTGTTTTATGTCGATCAACTACAAGTAACACTGGAAGTGGTACTGCATTCGCGGAGAGCTGAGGATGGCAAACATTAGCCACATATTCATAAAGATAGGTTGCCAGGCAACGAAACATATGCTCACAGCAGCTAAATTATCCGGGCAGTCAACAAGAGTTGTCGCATATGTTTACTTTTGTCGGTAATGAAACATTTATAATACTACACTAAAATCTGATTAAGACTATTAAGACTAACAACTGATTAAGTAATTATCAGAAAATCATTAGAATTTGTTTGGTCCATGCTAACGTTTCGTATACAAAACATTTAATATCATCAATATACTTGTTCGTCTTAAGACCTTTAACTCTGTGTATCAATCTAAAGTCAATAGAAAAGATTATATATAGGCGTAAACCAGTAATGGGATTTCAAAATTTTTCTTGTCAGAAATTTTACCGAAAATATAGGGGCATAACTCTTATCATTATTTAAGCAGACGGATTCATACCACAATTAAAAATCTTGTGTCAACAAAATATTCAAATCCCGTACGTAATAAAAAAATAGGTGAACCTTGCGATTTTTCATATTTAATTCCCGTACGATATTCAAATTTATGTCAGTAACATTCCTACAAAAATTAAACATTTTCATAATA